ATTCTACCATAAAGGCTGAATTATTACGAAGTGGAGCAAAACTTCGAGTACAACAAATGAAGAAAGTGTAAAATGGCTACCTGACTATAATGAAAAACATAAAAATACTTTCAAAAAAAAGCAATATATAACTTATTGAAAAACATTAACACGAGAAAACAAAATTAATAATAATGTGAAGGTTTTTAAACGTTATGTGTTGTAATATTTGCGCGAAGTACATAACCAATGAAAAAGAAATATGTAAAATTAACTATGTGCTAAATAAAATTTCCGGATATTCATTCCAGACTATCACATGATCACCGGAGCAGCAACCTGGTACACATTTTCGGGTTGCAGAGTAACGATGTAATTACGTAGCTTTTTTGTCTGGTTTTTTCGTCTCGCCCTTTCCCATCCTCATAGGATGCCCTAATGAGTACTATTGGTAAGCTTGTTAAGTTTAGTAGGTGGCCTGTCGGACAACAGTCACGGGAATTTATCATTTTTTGTTCCCAGTAGGTTCGGATTTGGCCTGTCGAATCTAACAGGAGGAACCGTCGATGTTACACGACTGATCCTTCACCAGGTGTGCAACATATAAAACAATTATTTTACAATACCGCTATGATTATAATAAATTGGGGTGGGATTATAATAACATGTACTAGTGGTATTGTAAAATAATTTTTTTATATGTTGCACATCGGGTGAAGGGTCAGTCGTGTAACATCGACGGTTCCTCCTGTTGTCGAACCTAGGCTGATAGTCACAAAAAATTCGCATATGGAAACATGTTGCGCTCGGGTAAGTTTAACATGTAAGAAAAGAAAAGAGAACAACCTTAGAATACAGTTAACTTGGTTACAATAAGTTTTATTGCACTTTTTCGGTACTCTAAAATTCTGCATTTTAGTCTTGCCATTTGCACGAAGCAGCAGAGACAAAATACCCGTAATTGTATTTCATTGTATTTATTGCTAAAAACACCTCCTCGATAAGGGACAAAAACTTTAGCGATGCTTAATAATTTTTAATGTTTTCCATCTTTTATAATAAATTCTCTGACTTCATCACTTCGAAATCAGCAAAATTATCGAATCTTATCCTTTTTTTTGCGAATAAATCCGATTGTTTCGCTTAAAAATAAACAGGTCTTAAATCTCCTCCTTTATTTTTGCTTTTCTAATACTGTACCTAGCAATACACGAAAATTTGCCGTAGATTTGGTCAAATTTCGGGGGGTTTATTATTAACCATAAAGAAATAATAATTTGCAAATCTGTTTCTATCGCTATAAAACCGTCTACATTCAATTATAAGTTATAAAATTTTACTTGAACTTTCGAAATAATAGAAACTGACATTGAGAAATATTCACTCAAAATTTGACAAAAACTTATTTATAATTACAAATTTGACTAAAACGTTTATATGAAAGTTAAGCTTTCGAAAAATCATCTAACAAAATTTTAGGTGGCTTTGATTACAAAAAATTTCGATATTGTTACTTTAGATAAAGATTTTCAATCATATATGTTTTAATAATTTTGCTACATAGTAATATTTAGGGGTAGGAAACCTGAACTATAACGATAGCAAAGATATAGGAATATAGGTCTAAATTTTAGTAAGAGTGAGGTGCTGACCATTTTTGCTTAGTACTTTTGACATGTGTTAGTACTTTTTTGAGATATCGATATAGTGTAACTATAGTGTTGAGCACCATTGGTGTGATTTAGTAAAATGATATAAAAAACTTGCGTAACGATATTTTGTCGGTATAAAATAAGTATCCATTCATAACGAACTTCCATCATACTAAATCCATTGCATGGCCACTGGAATTTAGAGATAATCATACACGTATTATTAATCTTTATACCTAATACTGAAGTAGAAGTAGGTCGATTGGTAAATTGGTAATATGATTTTCAAAAACCAAAATATACAATCCTAACGCTAATAAAAAATTTTATACGTATGATGCTGCTTTAATTTCAAGGGTTATCATACAATTTATTAAAATTGCATAAATTATAATGGTATGAGGGTGGAAACCTGTTACGTATAAAGACCAACATTCTCATGTCCGAATCAACGTTCTAAAATATTGAGTTCGTGTGACTATTCATTAATAAATTTCAAACTATATATCAATATTACATACGTATCATTTAAATGCTTAAAGTCAGAGTCAGGTAGGTAGGTCACGTACATAAAAATTAGTATCGCATGGTGCATGTGAATAAAAACTGTAATACAATGTTTCAATAATTATTGTACAACATTTTATAGATGCGCCATATACAATATATTTAAATTATTTTTTTTTCAATGCAATATATTCTTAAATGTAAGTGGACAGACATTTAAGACATCGAACATTCATAAAATCCATTGGTATAATATTTTACATCAAAAATCTAATACGCTTGTTTAACTATTTCTTCATATAATGGCAAATTATTAAGCATGTCTGTCAGCAAAGTAGACAGCTCGTTTAACAAGGCCCCATAAGATCTTTAGAATAATTAATGTTATAACACTTAATAATGTAAGCATTAAAAACCCTTGTCTATTATACAACAAAGTATATTCTATAGTATTTTCTAAATCATGTTGAATTTCCGAGACAAGTTCATAACTTAGGAATGCCCAATAAAGAAGTATGAGCACATCAGACGTATAACTTACATATGAGACTTGTTTGTAAGTTAGATGATGTTTACCGTAGAGTAAATAAAGTTCTTTTTTGCCTGAATGTAAGAATGAATTTAATAAAATTTTATGAGCAAAGAAATTTCAAGAATTTATTTAATATAATAAAAAAGTATATTATTAAAATATAAGCATAAGAAAGAACAAATACTAAAATTTGAGTACCAAACAAAATAGCCAAAACTTCAAACAATCTAATTTTCCCATCGGTGTAAAAATGGATTTGATAAATATTCATTAGACGAGGAGCAAATTCCAAAGTTCCTATAGCTATAATTAAATAATGAGACACCGAAAAAGACTAATAAAATCATAAGATAAAGATTAATAAATTTATAAGATAAAGATTAATAAATTTATAAGAATAGAGATTAATAAATTTATAAGAATAGAGATTAATAAAATTATAAGAATAGAGATTAATAAAATCATAAGAATAGAGATTAATAAAATCATAAGAATAGAGATTAATAAAATCATAAGAATAAAGATTAATAATATTATAAGAATAGAGATTAATAAAATTATAAGAATAGAGATTAATAATATTATAAAAATAGAGATTAATATTATAAGAATAGAGATTAATAGATTATCACGGAAACACTTTTTTAGAAACAACAAATGAGTACATACGTAAAATAAGACTAACCTTTGTGATATTCCCATTTATAGATAAAATGATCATTAAGATAACACTTCCAATAAAAGTATAAATATTTAAAATAGTTAGCACCATCCAAGCTAGTCTTTTCCAATTTGGAGGATTTTTCATTGGAGAATCATTTAAATTTTTCCTTTTAGGTTTATTGTCAAGTACAGGAATTACCACAGTAAATTCTTCAAGATTCGTGTGAGATGAAGGGGATGGAGAGGAATTATAACGACGAATCCGAGAACCTGCTCGAAATAAAAATGCACTTAGTGTATTTAATAAAAACAAGTTTGATGAACGATCTAAAAATGAATCATATAATTGATTATTGTTTAAAGGACGTTGAGTATTTGTATTCTGACTCAAATTTGAAGTTAATTCATTTTGTTGATTTTGAGAAATGTTTTGTGAATTTGAAGGATAATTTGAAGGGTAATTTGAAGGGTAATTTGAAGGGAATTTTTGTGAATTGGAAGAAGATGGAGAATGTGATGAGTCAGAAATATAAGTAGGTTCAGGCATCGGTAATATAGGACTTGGTATGTTAGTGATGGGACAAACATGTTCGGAGGGATGGGAACTTGGAAAACAACAATTACATTTGTGAAGGTAATAGTGATTAGAACAGTTTGTGGGTTGATGCGTTTGCATTTTTAAGCAGAAAATTTATATATAAAATTTATAATACAAATATTTGAAAGAATGTTAACAAAATAAATCAACAAAATGTTTGAAAAAAAAAAAGTTAACAAATAATCAATGAATGAAAAGGTTATTTTATAAATGTTTTTTAAAAAATTATAACAAGAGCATTAAACCATTTCAGAACGATATTTATAAGTTACAACAAACCTCATACTTAATATTTCTTCAACTCTCATAACTTACTATAGTTCTAACATTGTTACACAACTTTAGTCAGACGTTTCGTTTAAAAACAATAATCCAATTATTTGGAAACAATGCAGTGTGATTATTGTACAAGCTTTAATGTCTAGTGGCTGCACCTTGTAACATATGGTAAACAGATTGCATTCCGATTTTCCCTCGGCAAGGTTGATAACAAGAAAGGAAATATACGAGGTCTAGTATTCTAAATAAGGGAATACATGAATTGAGAAAATATACATGTTAATTGTAAAATTTTACTTTGCCGAAAGCAAGTATAAAATGATAATATAATAGATTTCAAAAAGAGAAACATGAAACATAATAAATACTTTTAATATTCCAAATTTTAACCATTCAGCTAATTTATATTTGCAATTACTAAGTCATTTAAGCAGTATGAATTCATCGACAGACAGACTATATTTAGTTTATTTTACGGTCTTATCCATCAATCCTTTGAGTGGTCAAATCACCTAAATTTAGAATGGGCTAAACCATGATCTTAAGCGACAATAAATTTTAAAGTTGACAAAGTGAAAAAGACAAGATGAGCAAGTCTCCTTGTTTCATCTTGAATTCTCTTACCGTATTATGCTGTAAGCTTGAATGAACGCGTTTTTTGATACGATATCAAGTTCTTTAAAATAATTTAAAATAATATAAATTACCAGAAAAATTCGCGCGCAATATGCAAGATTCCACGTTTCTGCACACGTTTATCCAGACATATAAACTTCAATACATGAATGCAATTTTTGTATTTTCGAAATTCATAAATAATTTGAAAAATCAAACAAAATAAATGCCCTGTCTTCTCCCTTTATTTTGGTGCATCAAAAATCTATAATTTATAAAGCCATTGATAAACGATTTTTTAAAAAAGGAAATCAATTAAATACATTAAGATATCCTAATGATATCCAATAATAGCATTTTTTTTTTCTCCAGACACATTCACTCCGAATTATGTCTCAGCTTTGTTAAAAATATATTTGTTTCACGTGGATTTACTTTTTTATCTTTGAGGCGTAGTAATTTTCCAATAAATGTCACATGAAACGCTAGCAAGAAAGTATGTACTACATACGTATATGTAGCATGTAAAACGTGGTAATAACAACTGACAAACGATAAATTTAACTTAAAATTTGGTTTTTTTTTTGTTTCTTGGTATTATTCACTCAATAGAATAAAATTATATTATTGCTTCTTCTAACAATAATAGCATATAATAGCATAATATAATAGCATATAATAGCATATAATAGCATGATAAAATTTTACCATACAGCATAATTTATTTCGTTACAATAAACACCTCGAGACAGTAATTAATTAATTCTTCAATATCATGAATTTATTAATAAATTATTGATACGAAACAGTGAATACTGCATAGGTGGGCAAAATATTGTACGTATAATTATTACAAAAAATATGTAAAAATTAGTTAATTTAAACTATATAATTATTACAAAAAATATATAAAAATTAGATAATTTAAACTATATAATTATTATAAATAAACTATTAAATAGTTATATATTAGCTTAAACTAATAATACTATAACAATAGTTACAGTGTATCTGCCCACTTATACTAAAGTTCATTCCAATTGTATAATGGTAAATGGTAAATAATTATGCATATAGCTAGCTATAAATAAGATTAAAGTGCTTCATGCAATTGTTGTGCGAGTGAGTTTTATTAACAACGAAAATTAACTAAACGAAAATTAACTATTACACAATACCATATACGTACGTACGTACGTAACTGTTTCGAAACAATGATCGATCAAAAAATGCATCCATGATCAAATTTAGTTACATTGTTTCTCTTCGGTTCATAAACAGTTACACATCACGAATATTTCTATCATCAAAACTGTCTTTAACAAGTTATTGATTTTAGTGTAGGTTTATCTTTGATATTCCAAAAATAAATTTTAAACACAAAGTTTGTGAACTTTAAATTGTTCTGTTATCTTTGACTAACGTTAAATCAAATGCAGAAATGATAATGATAACGCACATCTCTTGATAATATAGTAATTGCTTAACTAATCTAACTTCTTTATTAATTCCGGTGTTTTTTCTCCATTATACTGTATGTTTCAAATTTCATCAAATCTTGCTTGTTTAGTGGTGCCTTAAGAATTGTTTGTGGTCATAAACTTGTTTTTCATTCATATCACATGTTGTACTTTAAAAATAAAAGGTGATTTAATTACAAATCAAAATTCACTTTTATTTGAATCGTTTAAATAATTTAGATTGTTAGTCCAATAATAGATTACCGTTTACGATGTATACATTATCGGGACTAAAATGAAGGCATGAAAGTTAATATATGTGTACGTACTTTGTGTGATTACTCCGGAACCATAATATTTTAAAAATTGATGTCTTCAAAAACTTATAAAAAACATATGCGTAGCATCCTTATTCTGGAATAATGAAATTCTTTTGAATTCTAAACATTAATATTAATAATTGCTTCTTTCGTTGTCCACTGCTTTATCATAATGACTCATGAATATTTTTATTACTAATAAAACGGTTATTCCTTTTCTTAATTTCGATCCATCATTAATGATTAGATTTTATCCAAGCATAGATTACCTATTCTTAGCTCTTGTCTACTGTGTGCTAATTTCGCATGTATAGTAATTGCTCTCCCACACAGTAATCACGATAAATGATTAAAGTCCTAATAATGTTGTAATAAACGCTACAGTCAGTGTCAGATTGGACTCACTGGTATAATGCTGAGTGCAGGAATGGAAAAAAAATCAACTTATGATAATTAAGAATTGGTCAATCAGGTAATTGTGCGATGTAATCGAGCGACATAATCGAACTGCATAAAACTAGGAATGTGATACACATTTCGAGGCGACGTTATTTACGTACGTACACACTCACATAAGTTTAACATTCTAATTATACTTACTTATTATGTAAAATAATGTGGATTACGTATACGTACCGGTACGTACGTAAATCCGCTTAAAATCTTTCATACTAATACTACTGTAGTAATATTTTTTAGTTTATCGTTATTGATCATAGATTTCGTTTACGTATACGTAAACTTATTTTTCTGACAATCATTTTTCCGAAAGCTAAGATTTGCCCAATTTAGAGTTAGGATTAACCTGATTTAGAGTTGGCGTTTTTTTTTAGAAAAATTTTATTATATAAACCTTATCAATATGGAAAGTCTAGAGGTTAGAACCAATTAATATAATTCAACTAATTCGGGTTAAACCGGTCTTATAATACTCTGATTCAGTTGTAAAAACATTATATATCATGAGGTGACCAATAAAAACTAATGCACACAACTCGATTTAAACTCAGCCTGCTTGTAAATCGAGTTCGGTCTTTGAATTTACAACCGGTTCCGATCTCTAAGTGTCGTTAAGTGAAAATCAGAAAATTTAAAGAATTATTATATTTATTTTATATAGCAATCTATATATAGATTCTCTGGCTTGGCTTCGAAGGAGTTGGATCAATATTACATCTATTATTTTACAGTTCATTTATTAACTTTTTTGTTTATATACGATATAGATTTAAAGGTTATATCAAACTATAACTATCCTAAATAAAATAAATGTGAATTTACATATAAAAGCCAAAAATGAAAATACTGTAATTACGGAAAATAAAAAATTCTTACATATATCGGCCCAAAATCAAAAATTATTACAAATAAGGGCCTGTCCGATCTCCGAGCTATACTAGGAGACTAGGCTACAAGACGTGCCCAGAAAAAATAGTAGCCGTGCTTAATACAGTAATGATTATCATTTGAACTTTGATTTTTATTTTTATTTTCGCTTTGACTCTCCTTTGCTTTGAATTTCGCTTTAACTTACATTTTTGCTTTCACTATGACTTTCGCTCGGACTTTCGTTTTGACTTTGATCTTCTCTTTGACTTCGTTTTGACTTTCACTTCAAGAATTTTTGCTGTGTTGAATATAGTTTTGATTGATCGTTTAAATAAGCCATTTAAGTTCGTAAATATTTCATACTTTTCTTCTTGTTTATTAATTTTAATTTATTTAGTAAATATGTCCAAAATGACCGTAGCATATTATATCTTTTTATTTGTGTTTTTTAGTTACGTATAAAAAATTTTCTAATCAATGTGTTAAAATTTGTAAAGTCATAAGTTTGTTAGCGAGATTCGTGAATAATACCTTAAGTTTTTTCATGTAAAAAATTATTTGCATTTTGAAGTTATTTTAGTGATATTGTATGATTATTTTAATCTGATCCTCTTTTTTTTTTTTTTGGACGATACTATGTAAGTCTTGTAGCTTAGTCCCCTAGTAAGCTCGGAGATCAGACAGGCCCTCATTTGTAATAATTTCTGATTTTGGACCATTATATGTAAGAATTTTTATTTTGGGATCTCATTCGTAATTATTCTCATTTTTGGACCTTTATGTATAAATTCCTCTAAAATAAATGTGTGAAATTACAGAATAAAAATAAAGTTGTACAACTTGATGCCTCTTATACCAATCAAATGTTGTCTTAAATTCACATTTTTTTCATTCATACAATAGATTTATTTTAAATGTTTCAAGATTCGCAATCTTTGGATAGTTATCTCTCTAATTTGATAAATTATGCTTATTTATAAATAAAAACAAAAAAAAAAGAATTTATCAAGAATAAAGATTATATCTTTCTCTTGTAAATAATATTCTTTACAGTAATAGGCATTTGAAACATTAA